GTGTTTGTCCTTCCTAAGTTCAGCAGTAGGCTGGAGAAAGTTTTGTTTTCAATTATTTTACGAAGTTAGGATTTCAGCATCAACACAATGAATTAAATATAATTTGGACTGACGCTCTCACTTCCTTTTTCATTATTAGTAGAGCCTGCAACACTTTACTTCTCCTTGGCTGGATAGAAAGGGAGCACCACAGAGCTGCAAACTCTGTAGGTTCCCAAAGCAGTACTTCTTGGGTCTGAGTATTTCTGAGGCTTAGAAACACGAGGAGATAGCATGGAGACACTCCAGGGCAGGCTCGGCAGCCTGGGCTCATCTTGTGCCCCTCTGAGAATGCCCCATTATTCCCCTGCAGTGTGAGGATGTGGGTGAGCCTTCTGTAGTGCTTCCTACCTGATCAGAGGCTTGAAGAGAATCAGCAGAGTCTTGATGAACATAGTTGGGTGCACAATATACAAGGCTTTGATGTTCTTCTTGTACCTGCCAAGAGAAGCTAAGTAAGGATGAACCACACTTTAAAGTAGAGAAACCAACCTTTCCACAAGATTAAAGCAACCTGGGTGCTCCATTCCTTTTGCACGGAGCCTCCCCACTCCCCAGCACCCCACGGCCTCTGGTCTCCCATGCTTTGTAGTTGTGTCAGGCCACTCAGCAGCCTAACGGCATGCTCTACTGTATTCCAAGATTCACTGAGAAGCAGCGAGCAGCCTCACCAGGAAGGAGCAATTATAGCATGGAGCTGACACACTTGCACTGGGTCCTGGTTTTGCTGGTTGCCTGTTGGCCTAAAGGATGTAACTACAGAAGGAGTGTTTATCCCATGATTCAGCCTGCGTTAAACAACAACCCACCTCCATAAGCAGCAGAAATAAGTGATAGTAAATTATGATCACCAAGCTTCATGAGGGGTCTGGGGAAGATCTTCTATGTTAGGCTACAGACAGCATGTTATATCCTTGCTTGCTGCAGCGTTACTCACTTGCGATCAAATTCCCTGTAGGCATCCCGCAGCCAGCTCAGGGATGGCTTGTTCTCACTGGTCAGCCCATGGTGAAGGTACACCAGTGTGTAATCACTCTCCACATACTGGTCCAGTGTGAATTTCAGGTACCTGAGAAGAGACAACTGCTGAACTCACTTCATGCTCTGCCACAGAGAGGCTCTTCCTCCCTTTGGGACTCATTTTTGTGTGCCGTAACAGAGGATTTGCATCCCCACCAGTGGAGGTAAGCACTTTGGGAGGACATGTCCAGCTAAAGAAGCTACTGCAGATAGATCTGGCCCCAGGAATCCAGCACCTGGGAATTATGTCAGGCTTAAGAAGTTAACAGCAGCCTCTTAAGACACTACTCACCCCAGCAGTTTCACGTGGTCAAGTTGATGACTTGGGGGCATCCGGCAGGCACTGAACAAAATTACTTTCCTTCCATATTTGTCATCACCTGCAGATGAAACGCCAGAGATTACAGGGAGCTTAAGGACTACATTGTGGTCTTGGCAGCAAGGGGTAAACAGAGAATAGGAAACCACCATAAGAAGGCAGAAGTCTGGATTGCCACAACTGCCAGCAAAGTTAAACCTGATTTTCAGCAGAGTTACCACAGACCTAGTATGGAAGCAGAAACCTGAACACCAAGGGCCTGGCAAGTCAACAATGCGAATGGAGAACAGAGTCCATGCTCCAGCCCTGAAAGAAGAGGAAGGATTGGATGCCAGGATGCCTTGGGGCACATAGGGATGGAGGCCTTAAGTACAGAACAGAGTGCTCAGAGCATTAGTCCTGCAACTGCCCCTGGGCACTGCTCCTGATGCATGTATGCCCAGGGAGGCACACGGAAAACTGCCCCTCACAGGCACAATAACCACTCCTTCCATCCTGCACACAGTCCCAGACTAACTGCTTGTCATCTGTTGCATTTGTTTCTTGCTCCACCTGAAGCTTAGTCCTGCACACAGAAAAAAGCCATTTCATACCCTGGAAATTAAGAAGTTCCTAGAAACAGGGCAGTCTCAGCCACATCCCAGAGGTGAGAAGCAAGCATTGTCATAAGCCTCTTCTACAGACGGACCAAGTAGTGCTGCTGGATTCTCCAGCGGGACTGCAGAACAAGCTGTTCACTGCTTCCTAGACTTTCCATCCACAGAGATATTTTTCCAACCTGAGCTGGAAGGAGCTGCAAAGTGTGGCACAACAAAGCATTTTGTATAAAAACCCAGCAGAAAACAGTCCCCATCACACTGGAGCCAAATAACCCATCAAGCATCCTCATTTTGGGGAGGACACTCCCAGCCACCACTTGAGGCTTCAGAGACAACAAGCAACATTTTCCCCAGAGCAAGTCTTCATGTGTCAGTGGACATTTGACAGCAAATATCTTAGCCCCCTGAACAAAATGCGAACAGATGGGCATGGACAAGCTTAACAGACATGCTAGGGGAATTGAGAGATTTTGGAAATTTGACAGCAAATATCTTAGCCCCCTGAACAAAACCCGAGCAGATGGGCATGGACAAGCTTAACAGACATGCTAGGGGAATTGAGAGATTTAGGTAAGTAAGAACCAGGCCACAAATCTTTTAGACATACAGTTTGAGGGAAGGTCTGGTTCTCTCCCAGACACAACACCCAATCCCTTTCCATTAGGATGACTTGCTTTTTAGCACCAGTGGAGATGAAATGGTTCATTTAGTGCAAAGGGTTAGTCTTCCCATCTTTCTTGCTACTCACTCGGCTCCAAGAGCTATGTTTTCTTGTCAAGCAGAAGGAGCATGGAGCAGTGGAAAGGGCTACTGAGGTTACACTCAACAACACCCTCCTTCTTCCCCTATGGCACAACTGTCTCATACAGACCACAGCACAGAAAAGCGGCAAGGATTGCCACTTAGGCAGGACAGCCCTGCAATACGTAACTCTTCTTGAAATACATCATTTTCCCCATGCTGATTTACAGTATTCACAGCATGCAGCCATTTTCTCACCTTTGCATGGACTCTGGCCCTCAACTACTGCTTGGTTACACTTGCCATGCAGCAACTGAGATCTCAAAGTGAATCCCAGAACAGCAAACCTGAGGTTTCTGGGAACGCTGCCTGCTAGTAACAGATGACCACCTGGTGCTGCAAATGGCAGCCAGAGAACTCACATACACCAGCCACGACATTAAGATGCCACTAACCCTCTTTTACCCCAATCCTGGCCAGAAGAACTGATTCTCTTGCTACTTGTTCACTTATATTTTTTCCCTCCCCTTGAAAATAGTCCCATTTTCAAGTCGCTCACCAGACAACACAAGAGACAGAATTTACTGATGCACACAAGCCAGAACCTCTACAAAAGCTAGGGACACTGAGGCAGCACTAGGTACAGACCAGGAAAGGGGTGGCATAGGCCATCACATTGACATACACATGCGGAGGTAAGGGGCAATTAGGGAGGATGCATGACCCAGAATGCAGGACTAGGAGAGACTGATGCAAGGCTCATCTGGAACAACCAGATACAGTCACAGCCAGGCCGCAAGACCAACATCACATTGCATATCCCATGGTAGCCCGCTCTCTGCCTAGCCCAGAGTTTCTTGGTAGCTTGCTATGAGCTTTAGGGTTGGGTCTAATGCACGTAAGCTGTCTATAAGACAAAGGTGCAGACTACAAAGTCCTAGTCAGGGAATATGGCATATTGTGACTCTTCTCAGTGGTCTTGAGCCACTCGTATGTCTCCATCTGGAAGACAAAGGGTCCTGCCTGCACAGAGCAGCAAGAAGAGGGTAGCATCTGAGAATCTGTTGAGTTTTGTAGTGATGAAAGAGAACAGTTAAAAGGACTACAGATCTTTGCACATCATAGCTCTGTGCTTAAGTCAGAATAGGTGCTATCTTCAGTTAACTGTGAGGCTGCATTTCACACCGCAGTGGATGGTCTGAGAGCCAGAAGCAGACCGCAAGCTTGATCAAGGCAGGCCTTGGTTGTGAAGAACTGTGGTACAGCACCATGTTCATGTGATGTTGTGGGTGGCCACATACTCAGCTCAGGCTCCTGGGCACTGATTTCCAGACTTGGCAAGTCACAATTCAGGAACCACATAGCTTAAACGCCTTCCTTTGGAATGACATGAAAGCTTACAGCAGGGCCTATGCAAAGTGTAGAATCTCATTCCATATACAGCCTTGGTGAAAAAGTCTAGGATCGCTGGTAAAGAAAAAATGGACAATCCATGATTCTGCCACAGGGGAGACAGCATAATTCCCAGGGCCAAGTACATCAAAAGATAATCTGTAGTCCCCTGGATGACTGAAAAAGGAGTGGCCCATTTTGCCTTCCAAATCAGAATGAATTTATGCATGAGACCTACACAGGAACCAGCATGCCCACTACTGAGTTCTGGGTTTCACCCCAGTTTCATCACACTGAGCTCAGCCTGTCAACACAGACACTTTCAAAACAGCCAACTGCCAATCTTGTTTCCACCTGACATATATCAGATCAGTCTGGTTCCTCCAGACATGACAAAATTCAAAATTCAGCATCAAAGCTGAACAATCAGTCATTCCAATTTATAAACAAGAACCTAAAGCCCATTCCATGCATTCTTGGAGGAAACTGCCTGCAGGTGGCCTCTCTGCCTCCAACTGAACAAATTCTTACCACATTTGATCTTTCCCAGATGCTCCATCCCTTGTACTGTTTGCTTTCCTGTTTGCAATATTAATCTTATGTATCTAGGTTTTCACCCCTTGTTTGCAATTGCAAACAGCTAAAGTTTCCACTGAACACAACTACAGACCATGAAGTAATCACTCAGCTTCTCAGGCTGTCTCCTACCTCTCCCATATGAGGAATGCTCAATAGTAACAACAAACTAACAAAGAAGCAATTATATACCATCAGTACTCACAGAGCACCCCAACAATGTGCATACCTTTGTGAGTAAGTTCATACATAAAATATATTTTCGATCTACACTGGGATTAAACTACCTCCCTATAGGATGTAATTCAGATTGTTTGGGTTTTTTTAACAAGAGCGAGCAAGACAGTAGCCAATATGCAAAGCTTCTCCAGTCAAGACAGCTGCTCATCTAAAGAGATATTAACTTGTAGCATTGATGGGCATGGTAATTCTCAAGAACATTGTTATGGTGCTTTCAAGGCCCAAACTCAGTTTTTCCTCTCACCCGAAGAACAGCGTTTCCAGTGCACTTCTGAGACAAGGGGCAAAGAACATCACTGCTGTGGTTCCAAGCCATCAGTGCAAGACCATGCTTCTAAAACTGCTTAAGTTTAACTACTGAGGCTAATATTTCAGATTGACACCTGCAGCAATATAAATGTATCAGAGCAGAAGTTCTTATCAGGATAGCAGTACTGTCCTGTGACAGCACTATCTAGTAAATGAATCGGTACAGCCAACAGAGAAAATACATGCTTGACTTGCAAATCCTGCTATGTATTTCCAGGTATTTCTCATGAAATGTATCCATTAGGCTTTATGCCATGATTGGAGGCTGTCATACTACTCATTGGCAGCATAACTGCAGTCCAGGAACCCTGCTCATTCCTACCTTCATCAGGTACCCTCGGCTGAGGGTCCACCTCAATGAAAGATTCAAATGGGAATATCCTGGTACTTTAATACTGAGAGAATGCAGATGGATAAAACTTGCCACCAAAAGCTAGTGCTATTGGTAAAACAGCAAAGTTAACAGAGTTCAGGGTCAAGGAGAGGACACCACTACGTAATTCTGGAACATTACTACACAAGTTTCACAAAGCTTAGGATGTTTATCAGAGCCATTGTCAGTGAAAAACTTCTCTAATGTAATTTCAAGTTCCTGCCAAGCTTATGACACAGCAGGACAGTGTTTAAGTATAGTAGATTTTAGTTGTCTGTTGAATTCCATACTGGATTTAGCCCCTCAGGAAAAGAAGGTAAGGAGCTCAAAGTAGAAGTATTTTAGTATGTTACATCTTCCACCTAGATATTCCCAATATCCAAATGCTACCAGAATCATAACACCTTACCAAAGGACTACAGCTCTAACTGACACAAAATACACTAGAGGGTCAGATTAAAGAATGCAAAATGGGAGGATGCCCGAGAACATCCAAATGGGGGAGAAAAGCAGGGAGGATCAGCATTTCCATGGACTGTGCAAAGGTCTTGGCCTGCTGTTCAGAAACAGCAGAAAGAATTTCACACCAAAAGAAGTTTCCATCTACACTGAGAAGTGTGAAAGCACCAGCAGCCAAATTCTTAAGGCTTGGGACTGAAGACCAGAGAATATTAACACAATTTCAGCAACCACAGAGTAGTCTAGCACAGCTTCAGGCTAGAATGAAGAACAAGTTACCAAAACACAACATCTCTGCAGCCAAATGGAGAAGAAATAGATAACAGTTGCTTTCAGCTGGAGAATCCAGTTTAAGTGTCAGCTGCTTAGCAC